CGCGGCGCGAAGGGGAGTGGGCGCGGCCGCCGCCACCGGCTTTCCAGGGCCTCCCTCTGCCCGTGGCGCCGAGCGTCGGACCCTGAGTCTCCCTGGACCGCCAGTCGCAGGTATGGCATCCCACCTGGGAGCGTCACCCATGGACACAGAGCTTCATTCTTTAGGGTGTTAGCAAGAAGGGGGAAAGATTTAGAAAAACTTTTTCTGAGTCTCAGTGAGAATGCAGACGCATGATGAAAACAACTGGAGACATTTATATAGATATGAACTAGATATCTGTACTAAAAATAGGTGATTTCTAACTGGAGATGCCATCTGTTCTAATTTGTAACCCTTCAGTTCTAAAAGCCTGGTACTGGTACTATGCCTTGCAGTTGAAGGGGCTCAAAAACAATTTATTAAATACATGATTAAATAAATGAATAAACTCAAAATTGACTTTGAACCATGTCAATCAAGGTGTAGTCTCTGTTAATCCTGTATGGGGATTAATGACACATTTAACCATTGTGAATCTAAAATTCTTTCCAAAAATAAAATTTTAAAAATCAGCTTTGAGATTTAATTATCACTGGACGGAGAGTGTCATTGTCATCTTTAATCCATATATATCTATGTATCTGTGTGTTTATGTGTAATTGAAAATATGTGTTCATTTCACTGGGATCTTCTGTGTATTTGAATTTGATATAAATTTTCTCTCCCAGAAATAAAATATATTCTCTGAAGTAAAATAAATATTCAACATGTTTAACTTTTGCAAAAATTATGAGATTAAGAAAAGTTTCATGAATTTAATAGATGAAGAAAAAGCTTACTCTAAAATTAAAAGGCAGGTTAAAGAAAATTACATGAAAACAAATGCACAGTTAACTAAAAACAAAAATACAAATATCCATTAATCATATGAATAATTACAAAAACAATATTTTAAAAATAATTTTTGATAAAGAACTTTGCAAAGAATTTATTATTATTACTATTTTTAAATATGCTTTCATTGATTTCAGAGAGAGAAAAAGGGAAAGGGAGAGAGAGAGAAACATCAATGATGAATCATGATCAGCTGCCTCCTGCACGCCCCCTACTGGGGATCAAGCCTACAGCCCAAGCGTGCGCCCTGACTGGGAACTGAACCGTGGTCTCCTGGTTCATTACTTCACCACTGAGACACGCCAGCTGGGCTATTATTATTATTATTTTAATCCTCACCCGAGGATATGTTTTCATTGATTTTTAGAGAGAAAGGAAGGGGGAAAGAGAGAGAAACACTGATGTGAGAGAGAAACATAGATCTGTGGCCTCCTGTATGTGCCCTGACTGGGTATCAAACCCACAGTCTTTTGGTGCATGGGGTGATGCTCCAACCGACTGAAACACCAGGAAAATACTGGAAATGGTGTGCTAACATACACAGGCTCATTGCTTATAGGAGTATGAATAATATTCCTTGTGATGCAGCCACTAAAATAGGATTTTGAAGAATATTTATTAATATGAGTTTTTATTACACAAAAGGAAATATATAAATATTATTATATAATATCTCAATTTTCATACAAGTAGACAGCCAAATAAAAAGATATTAGATTGAAATACACAATAATTTAAACAATGGTTATGTCTGAATATTAGGATTGGGAAAATTTTTTGCTTCTTTTTGTTCTTTTTTGCATTTTCCAGATATTTAACCACTTGTTGTTACATGTATTATTTCAGATGTTCTACCGTGTATTATTTTATTATCAGAAAAAAATTATTGAAAAGAACAAATAATAGGAATTGTATGGCCATGAAAGCACTACTCAGAAAAAGCCAACATGAGCTGCAGGGTAATTATCATCAGCCTCATTCGGTGCTGCTGTAAGGCTGCCCATGTGCAGTTCTCATGAATTGACCTGTAACCGCTCCCCTCTTTCCTCCAGTCCGACCCCGAGCGCATCCCCAAAGGAAGATTTGGGACAGGAGAGCAGCATTGCTCAAAGGGCAACGACATCATGTAGCTGGGCCTCCTCAGTGAAAAAGAGACTGCTACTGTC